CCCCCCCCCCAAATTGTAATCTTGTTACAAAATGCATATAACATTTGTACTATTCTTCTCATTAATTATATCGCAATATCGCCAAGCTGGGTCTCTCTTTCGACTTTTGGGACATTTTTAATCCCTATTAAGATATAAAAAACACAAACATAATGAAATAAACTGAAAAATTTATATATATATATATATATATATATATATATATATATATATATATAAACTGAAGTCGGCAACACCTTAATTAAATTTAATTTAATAACTGAAATTAGTAACATTTCAAAGAAAAAAGAAAAAAAAACTGAAAAAAATATAATAATTAAGTTTAATATACTGAAATCAGCAAAGCAGCAACACTTCCAAATATAAGAATTAAGTTTATAAACTGAAATACACACAAAAATTAATAAATAAAGGCTAAATAAGAAGAATAAAAGGAAAAAAAGAAAAAAAATAGACCGCTGCCTACTCACGGTAGTCGACACCCAGAAGAAGAAAGAAGAGAGAAAAAAGGAGAGATAAAAAGAGAAGAAGAAGAAAGAAGAAACAAAGAAGGAAGAAAAAAAGAAGGAAGAAGAAGAAGAAAATTACCTGGAGCAGGAGTCAGAGCAGCAATCAGTCTGGACGAAGTAGAGGAACCCTAGCAACAGTCGATGGAAGAAGAAGAAGAATTGTCTTCGCTGAACCCTTGCTTTGGGTGTATAGTCTATGTTTTGTATAATACAAAAAAGACGCAATCTTTTTTTAAAAAAAAAATTGACCCACTTACATGAAGCGATCGTTTTTTTCGCTTCTCTGCGTCGCTTGTCGCTTCAAATATTGAAGCGCTCGCTTTTGTAAATCGATTCGTTTTAGCTTCAGAAAAGCAACGACCCATTGCTATCGCTTCTCGCTTAGAGCGATGAAGCGCTCGCTTTTTCAAACACTGACTACCACTCTGTAGAACTTACCTTTAAGTTTATGAGGCACATTCTTATCAATAAGACACCGGATGTGAGTCTCCATTTTACCCACCCACCCCAATACGATGTGTAACATCCTCATCAATCTCTCCATTTCCTTGATGAAGCTGTTGTTTTGTCACTTCTAACAAAATTACAAAATGGGGGAAGAGATGCAATCTCTTCAAGCCATGGATCTACGGTTACGAGTAAGTAAAGGTCCTATAGATTGTTATTTCCCAAAGACGCCAGAAGCAAAGAGCGGTGGAAAAGATTTGCAAAAAATTGCCAAGAACATTTTAAGGGATCGTGCAGTTACAGCTTTTGCACGATGGGTCTATGATGCAGGGCTCCCTTTCAATTGTGTCAACTATATTGACACTTTTGGAGACTTTATTGAGGTCGTTGGTCAATATGGACCCGGAATAAAGACCCCCCACCTATCATGAAATCAGAGGTCCTTATCTAAATAAGGAAGTGGAGACCAATAAAATTATGCTGGGGATGCTTCATTATGATGGATAAGTGGACGGCAAGAACTGAAAAAATAATTATTAATGTGTTGGTGAATTCTCCCAAGGGAAGTTTGTTTCTTGAGTCGATTGATGCTAGCGACGCGTCCACTGACCACATCAAAATGTTTGCCTTGTTTCAGAACACCATTGAAAAGATTGGCCCAAGAAATGGTGTTCAAATGGTCATTGATAATGTGAGTGAAAATGTTAAAGCGGGTGGTATGGTCCAAGGAGCGTACCCGAATATCTATTGGACTTCATGTGCGGTTCATGTATCAATTTAATATTCGGGGACATTTTCAAGGAAAAACTCTTCTCTACAGTTTTTGGCCAGGGCGTTAGGGTACATTCTTATATTGCTCCGCGGCCCTTGTTATTGAATATGATGAGAAGATTCACCAAACAAAAAAATTTGGTGAAATCGGGCAAGACAAGGTTCACCACTGCTTTCTTGATGCATAGTATCCACTTGCAAAAGCCAATTTGAGAAAGATGTTCATTTCAGAGGAATGGAACAAGAGTAAATTTGCAAAGAAAGTTGGGCGAAAGAAGCTGCACACATTATTCTTTCTTATTTTTTTTTTGGAATAATGTCCTTCATGCTCTTAAAATTGGAGGCCCTTTGACTAGAGTACTATGTTTGGTAGATGGGGAGCAAAAACCACGGGCTACCTCTATGAAGCTATAGATAGGGTCAAGGAGGCTATTCAAGCATCATTCAATGATGAGCAGAAATATGCAAAGGTCTTTCATATCATTGATTCAAGATGGACGGAGCAACTTCATTGACCTTTGCATGCAGCTAGACTTATTATGAACCCGTCACTCTTTTATGATCAGTATGAGAATAATTTATCGGATAAAGAAGTGTGGAAGGGATTTCATGACTTTGTTATTAAGTTGGCCCAAGATGATGAGCTGAAAGGAAAGATAATAGATCAACTTGCTATTTACAAGTAGCTGAAAGACTTTTTAAGCTGCGACCGGCAATTAAACAAAGAGCCCATTTGGATTGGCTTAAAAAAAGTGGCTTTTCAGTCAAAATAGCTTTTAAGCCAAAAAACAATAAGTTGGGATTGCCCAGCTTCTTGATTTTGGCTTGTTTTAAGCAGTTTTTAACTTATTTTAGCATTTTTTGACTTTGCCAAACACTGAAAAAAGCTAAAAATAGCTTAAAAGCTGATTTGACCAACTTAAAAGCCAATCCAAACACCCTCAAAGAAAGACGAAGTCGCCGGGTGACCGAGTGCTTCTATATTTTATAGCTCTAACTTTTAATGTATTTTTTATACTTATTAACTCTTGAATATTTTTTTTCACTTCTATAGTTGAGTGGTGGGGCCAATATGGTGCAGAGACTCCAGATTTACAGACTTCCACCATCAAAGTTCTAAGTTTAACTTGTAGCTCATTCGGATGTGAAAGGAACTGGAGCATTTTTTAACACGTGAGAACTAAAAAAAAGGATTTCGTGTATTGAGATAAAGTAAATTATATCTCAATTGTCCTCACTCCTACTAATTAGTTGACACGTCTTGTTTGTAGATTTATACAAAGAAGATGAATCGACTAACCTTGAAGCGCCTCAATAATCTAGTGTTCATAAAATACAATAGAGCATTGAGGCGTCGCTACAACCACCGCAATCTAATTGATCCAATTCTTTTGAACAATATTGATGAGGATAATGAGTGGCTAACCGGAGTCCTCGAAAATTGTGAAGATGAAGAAGTATTTGAAGGTGACTCTAATTTCACTTGGGGTGATGTTGCAGAAGCTAGTGAAGTTGGCGAGAACCCTTATGATTCAAGGGGGAATACTTCAAGTTCAATCTCAAATAGAAAGGGAAAAAATGTGGGTACTACAAGTCAATCCCTGATTGATGAAGATGAAAGTGATCATGAAGAGGAAGATGAAGAGGAAGAAGAATATGACGAGCAATATGAAGATAATAGAGGAATTCAAGATTTTGAGAATATTGAAGAACTAGAAGAGTAGAAGAATAAGATGTTGATCCTAGTAATTTAGTGGTTTTGATTTTGCTTATCCTATGGTTTATGGAGGATTTTGTAGTACCTACTTTTAAGTTTTTAAATTGAACTTTTTAATTATTTATATTGTCTCTTTGCAAGGTTTACTTTATGTTCTTTAAGAATTGTGCTTCACTTCAATGAAGCGTGCGTTTCGTTTCGCGCTTCGCTTTTGAAGCGAAGTCAGCCCCTGTCGCTTTTTGCTCTCGCTCTCAGAAACACGGGTGGTAATTAGACCGACTATGTTGTACGGGATAGAGTATTGGCTAGTCAAGAATTCTCATGTTCAGAAAATGAAAGTAGCAAAAAATGAGGATGTTGAGATGGATGTGCGAGCATACCAGGATTGATAAGATTAAGAATGAGGATATTCGGGCCAAGGTAGGAGTGGCCCCATGGAGGACAAAATGCGAGAAGCAAGACTTAGAGGGTGTTTGGATTGGCTTATTCTAAGTGCTTATTGGCTTTTAAGCACTTTTTTAGTTTGTGTAGTGTTTGGCAATGATAATAAGTGCTTAAAAGCACTTACTTTTAGGCATAAAAAGTTCAAAAATAAGCCAAAAGCCAAAAGTTGGGTATTACCAACTTATGGCTTTTGGCTTTTAGCTTAAAAGCTACTTTTTATAAGCCAATCCAAACACCCTCTTAGATGGTTTGGGCATGTGAGGAGGAGAAGTACAGATGCCACGGTAAGAAGGTGTGAGAGGTTGTCCTTGGTGGGTCTTAGAAGAGGTAAAGGTAGGTTTAAAAAGTATTGTGGGAGGTAATTAGGCAAGATATGGCTTTGCTTCAGCTGACCGGGGACATGATCCTTGATAGGAAGGTGTGGAGGTCGAGGATTAAGGTTGTAGGTTAGAGGTAGTTGTAGGTTATTAATGGCAGTCTTGTATTCTAATATTGTAGATTTCTATCACCACATGTTGTTCCTTTCGCCTTGTTTTCTCATTTTTTCCTCGTGCCGAGGGTCTACTGGAAACAGCCTCTCTACCGAGGTAAGCTCTGCGTACTATCTACCATTCTCAAACCCCAGTTGTGGGACTATACTGGTTTTGTTGTTATTGTTGTGATCATAAATGATATGGCTACATTCCTTTGGGGCTGTTTTAGTTTTTAGGACTAAGCTATTGTTATAAAGACTAAAGGATTGGCTACTTATGTTTTTTCCCCAAGTAAGTTTTTTTCTCTAATAAATATTTGCAGAAGTAATCAAAAACTAAAACAGAAGAAAGTAATGGATCAGTTTGTTAAAATTAGCAAAAGTAAAGGGCAAGTTAGAGACATACCTTGGATGTAACAAGGTGACAGCCCCGCCTTTGAGGAGGAAGAGTCACAGTTTTTTGAGCCCATTTTGGGGCAACTGAAGATGCCATGGAATCAGAGGGATTGTTAATTGTCGTTCTCAAAGGATTATACTGACACTTTAAACTGATGGGTGCCGAAATAGGCTTTGCAATTCCACCGAACGATAACAAAGAGGACGAGAGAGACAGCATTTGCAGGTGTTGTTTCAAGAACAAATTTCATTACTGGTAGTGTGGGACTTTGGACCAAAAGTGAAAGTGTTGCTGATTTTGGGCTTCAAAAAAGCCACTTTTGCAAAATTTAAAAATGTGGCCTATATTAGAGCGTATGGTCCAAATTGAGAACTCTTACCTCCACTAAAATGTTAAGCGTGAAATCTAAATTTGAATTTCCATTATTGACCCTCATCTTAAACAGTTTCTGAGGATGTGTTTAGTAGAAAGGAAGTAATTTTTCAACAAAAAAAAAAAAAAAAACGCGAGTGTTATGAAATATTTGATTATGGTGGATGTCCATAACTCCTAAGGGAGTAACACCCACTACTCTTCTCCATTAACCTCCCACTACTTCTTGCCATTATGGATGTAACTCTCACACCTCCATGATCTTCCCCCATGTTCTCAATAGTTAATACCATGTTCATGGCATCCCTTTGTATTACCTATATCATCCTATAAATAGAGGGTTTGGGCATCACATTGTACACACTTGAATACATGGAAGAAATAGATTCTCTTCTCTCTTTCTCTCTACATTGTTGTCTATCTTTTTGTTTTATATTAGTACTTTGAGCTAAATTTTATAACACGTTATCAGCACGAATTGCTATATTCTTCTTATATTTTCTATAAGAGATGAAAGTCTTCCATGGGAGCTACAACCTTGAATCAATTTAGTTGAGCCAATGGAAACCTTGGCATTTCTATATACCATATCAATATTCAGTTTATATAGGGAGTTTTCAGATTATACATGAATTCCGTATTTAACTCGTGTTAAAATTTGGATTTGGTGAAATTTTTATAATACATGACAATATCGTTTCATCTGTGCAGGAAATAAAATGGTTTCGTTCGAATTGAAAAATGGTGTCATCTCTCTAACTACACTTCTCTTATTCATTATTGAAAAGATGACACATGCTTTTGTTTATTTACATTACGTGCAGGGTTCAACAAAGCAGTATGAAGGCATTTTGCAGTATTGCAAAAGAACAAGGAGCCTCCACTCTTTTTAAGGGAATAGGGCCAAGAGTACTTAGGATAGGTATTGGAGGATCAATATTTTTTTTGGTGTTCTTGAAAGGGCAAAGCAACTAGTTGCTGCTAAAGACTGTATGGATTAAAATTCGAATCCTTTGAAATTGTTTTATCTATTTGTGGAAGTGATAATATTTATAAAGCTTCGAATGTGAATCTTATTGTACTTTGGCCTATTATGCCATTGGTTAAGGGAAAGGCATATAACATGCCATTTATTGAAGGTAAGACAATGGGTTTAAGTCTTAACGCACCATGAGGGTAAGACATCGGGTTTTGAGTCCTGATGATCCATGATTGTAAAAGTTGGGTTCGAGTCCCAACTCATTATGGCCTAACATGTCTTTATATGGGTCAGGCATTGGGTTTGAGTTCCAATGCACCATATGGATGACATAGTGATGACTAAAGAAAAATAATATATTTTTCATGGAAAAGCATGAATCTTGTCCCACTTGATTTGCACCATTCTTGAAGTGAATGTGGTAGCAATGCATAATAAGTAAATGAATACAAGTGGTTGACCAATGAACATGGGCGTGCCATTGATCAAATAATAATAGTCATCATTATGGTACTTCTAAAAAATGAGAACAATAAGGGTTCTCGAAGAATCCTTCAATAGGTGAAGGAAATATTTACCATCAAATTGGTATGAAAAATTTATAAAGCACGTCGCGATAATTATACTCCATTCTTTGAAGAGAATGTGACTTGTGCATTGAGAATGCAGATTCATTCCTGAAGGTGAATGTAACAGTATGTGATAAAAGTAATGAATAAAGACGTGCAATGCATGATTGGATACACACCACAACTCACCTCTAAGGGAGGTTTGAGAGAAAGTAAGATAATGAATATTACTGTGTGGTTACATGGATATGTCATTGGTCGCGTACATGTGTTACATCAAAAATAATTTGACATGTCTTATAAAATGTTATTAGAGGCAAAAGCAAAGCAAGAAATGATTTTGCTTATGATGATTTTGACCTATGATATGATTTTCTCCGTGAAGGAGACATTCACCATATGGATGGTGTGACAAAAGATCTTGTAGTACAAAATCAATTAAGAGCTCTGGAAGAGCTAATTTGTTACTACCCGGATGAATAAAATTGTTCATGACATTGATATTGTAGTAAGTCTCAAAAGAAACTTTTTGAGTTTCAAATGTATTAGCCAAAGTGGTTGGCATATTGAGACTATAAATGAAAGGAAGATTGATTATCTTCATATTACTATAACATACCGGGTAAATATGAAAGGTTACCCGACTTTTCTTCTATTTGTACTACAGATGTATAAGCATGATGATAGAATCACATGCCACAAGTAAACTAGAGGTTTACTGAAACAAATATTAGCTGGCACGATCGGTTGACCATCCCGGTTCAATTATGATGCGAAAATTACTTGAGAATTCACATTAGCATATATTGAAGAAATAGAGATTCTTCAAAAATTCTCTTGTGATGCTTATTTTCATGATATACCAGTCAATGTTGGGATTGAATCCCTTAAAATCTGGAACGAATAAAAGGTGATATATATATGGGCTCAGTCACCTGCCATGTGGACCGTTTACTATTATATGATTTTAAAAGATGCATTTATTGTATGGTCATATGTGCGTTGGTTATCAACTTGCAATTTGACTTTTGCAAGGTTGCTTGCTCAAATTATTAGAGCACAATTCCAGAATGTAAATTGTGATGATAATGTTGGTTTAAATCCAAGTTGGTTTAGTAGAAATTGTATGTCTCCAATTATAGCCAAACCATTGGATATGAGAATAAAACTCCCAAATCGAAATTTGGTATGAGGTATATTATTTAATATACAACATCACTTGTACGCATCTAGCCAACAAGTTATGATACATTCTCCCCATCACAATTGGTTCAGGGTCAGGAACCAAATATTTCCATCTAGAAATATAGATGTATTATATGATTTAATTGTGCCACCACAATGCACAAAGATTGGTCCCCGAAGAAGGTTGGGGATATGTGTTGGTGATCCAAACATTAGGGGGAGAAAATGAGCAGCTGAAAAAAGTAATACATGGAATGAATTATTATGAGTATACTTAGATCCTCGTACAAGAAAATATGAACTTGAAGTTCAAGTGATAATTCATTTGCAAAATAATGTCAGGCGCATTTCCTGACCCAAAGCTAAATGTCATATTTCAGCTGCTAATGCTCCAAATGGAATAAAGTTCATGATAGACAGTGTCTATGGCAAGCATCAAGCATAATAGACTAATCGGTTCCAAAGATAAAATTCCTTGAAGAAGGAGAGGAGCAAATGTTCAAGATGTTCATAATAAGGAGGCAAGTGTTCTATAAGAGCACCGTGACATAACACTTTATAAGACCGCATGGGAGAGGCTCAGGTACCTGAAAATAATGAGATCTCGATAAGTTATGTTTTTATTGTGTGATGATGGAACCGATGTAAAATGATCATCGATGATATTGTTGATATAATGTAGCGCTCAATATTTTTAATATTGACGAGGATTTTGAGCTCAAATCTGTCATGAAATTTGGACAGATAAATGATTGGTCAATGAATAATACGCAATTAAGATTGACTTCACTTGGAAAACGTGAAGTTTTGACTGATAGTCCCAACACCTGAAAGTATAAAGTCAGTGGGGTGACACAAGATTTTACGTAAATGTCCTAGCATTGATTATATGGAAACATGTTCCCTTGTGGTGGGTACAATTGCTTTCAGATTTTAGTCTGACAATACCTGATAAATTTGATATGCGTATATAAAAATCATTGAAGGATTTAAACTGTTCTAAAGCATATTAAGGTTCCCAAGAAATTCATTAAATAAAGCTTCAGCAAATCTTTATGTGGATTAGAGCAATCATGGCGTGCATGATTTATTGGTGCACTATGTATCTTGCTAGAACCACGAGTATAATAATATGCTAGCGAGATATACTTTAATTCCTATATAAAGATACTGGAATACTGTTATGATTATATTGCAAAAGAAGTCCTTGATATAGATTTGTTTATTCTAACAAATATTATCAAGGTTTTGTTGGTTATACAAATGCAGGGCATAGTTCGTTGTTCAAACAATCTATTTCCATGTGAGGACGTGTGACTTTTCTTTGAAGAGACGATTCCAATAATATTGAAGACGATGATGCTTGCATAGCTCAATTGAAAGAACGATATATTGAAGAAGACAAAATAAAGCACATTTAGCCAAAGTTTTTTTGCAGAGACGATCTTCAACAGAATGATGAAACAGATGTTCAAGAAATTCGTTCAAGTGATAATTTGGCAAACTTCTTCACAAGGCATTGCCAACTCAGCAATTGAGAAGTTGTTATACATGATTGAATTTATCGTCTTTGAGATATCAAGTGATATTTTTCTCAGGGGGAGTATAGCACGCGCTGCACTCTTTTTCCCTTCGCATAGATTTTATCCCACTGGGTTTTCCTGACAAGGTTTTTAACGAGGCAGCAAGTAATGCGTATTACAAGATATGTGTACTCTTTTTCCTTCACTAAGATTTTTTCCCACAGGATTTTTTCTTGGTAAGGTTTTAACGAGGCACATTATCTTTGGACATCCAAGGGGGAGTGTTATGAAATATTTGATTATGGTGGATGTCCATAACTCCTAAGGGAGTAACACCCACTACTCTTCTCCATTAACCTTCCACTACTTCTTACCATTATGGATGTAACTCCGACACTTCCATGATCTTCCCCCATGTTCTCAATAGTTAATACCATGTTCATGGCATCCCTTTGTATTACCTATATCATCCTATAAATAGAGGGTTTGTGCATCACATTGTACACACTTGAATACATGGAAGAAATAGATTCTCTTCTCTCTTTCTCTCTACATTGTTGTCTATCTTTTTGTTTTATATTGTTACTTTGAGCTAAGTTTTGTAACAGCGAGAACATTATATACACATTGTTGATATATATATATATATATATATATATATATATATAGTTTTTTATTCTCTCT